AGAACCATTTCATGTAAATTTCTTCGATGTACTGAAAAAAATCTATATAGATTACTTTTATGTAGGCTATTGTGGGCGGGAGCGGGACAAAACATGAATGTTGCGGGCGGGACCAGATAAGATATACTTCTGCGGGAGCGGGCGGAAGCGGGCGGGTGCAGAACAGAATCTTGCGGGAGTGGGACTGAAAAATCTGTCCCGATCACTGAATACGTTTTATAACTTTAATGGTAAGCATTAATCTGTATTTATTTTTTACAATGAAGACTACAGACATTAAAGTAAGCAAATGTAAAATAACACTGGATGTGTTATTTTACATATGATTACTTTGATTTCTGTAGTATTTCTTACCTCTATAAAAACTTACTTAACCTGAAAAACTTAGTTTCATAGCTCTCTTTATTTTATTGCATTTATTTGTGCTGTTGTTTGTATTTTTTTTATGTGTTCTTATTTTATTACTGACTTTTTACTTGTTTTTTTATGAAAATAAACCTTTGCATTGAAGAAAAGTATAGTTTTGTTTGTATATGCTGTCAATTATAGTTCTTAGAAAAAAAATCGGTATCGGCAGATCACACTAACAAAAAAATCGGAAATCAGAATCGGCCAAGAAAATTGCAATCGGTGCATTTCTACTTTGAACTGTATTTACTGAAAAAAATAAAAAGGTCTGATGTGATATTCTCAAAATAATTAGCTTGGCCCATATATTGGTCTATCACTATTCTGAATCAAAACAGAAAGTAGTAGCCTATCGTTTCTACAGTGTTGAAACCCTGAAAAATTATAGCAAGGAATGTAAGGAATTCTGGTCAATAGACCTTAGTCAGCAAACACAAGCATGAATTGTACATAAAACCATTGTTATGTAAATTGCCACATTCAGTTCAATGCAAACATGAGAGAAAGAGAGAAACAGACACAGAGGAAGTGAGAGACATGACATGAAAGAGTGATAAAGCAGGGTTAAGTGAAAACAAAAAGAAGCAATGCTAGATAATGTAAAGAAAATGGAGTACAGTAGGTAAGGAAATTAAGGAAATGGAGAAAGGGAAGCAAACCGGAAGCCAGAGATATGCATGTGCATGCAGTATATGCATAAGAATCAGGTGTGACATTGCATGTGCATGCAGTATATGCATAAGAATCAGGTGTGACATTGCATGTGCATGAGCAACCCATAACAATCTACATTTTCTGTAAACCCTTCAAGCTCTACCGAACATCATGTCTACTCTGTGTCGACCTCTTGATTCACACTCCAGGTTTTATTAAAGCACCATGTCACATTGCAGCATCGTGATCCACGCGTTAAATCACGCCACAGCTGTGTTTGAGCAGATCAGGATACCGTGACTTCATTCAACATGGCGGTAAATCCACAGAGGCATATACACTGCGGTATATAGCACACAGACCTGCTCAAGGCAGGATTTGGACAGAGATAGCGAACCCCGGAATCACAGCATGTGCCAGGAGCACAACCCAAGGTCGAGAATAAACACGTGCTCATTCTTGACAATCAAAACATCTCTCTGAGAAGGGAATGGAAGAGGGTGGTGGAGGTTTACGGCTAACTGAGTGTGGAAATAATATGCAATAATGCATTCAACATGCGATATACAGATAAATATGCAAGTAGCACCTTGTTATTTATATATTGCTTTGCAATAAAGAAACAGCATGAGAGGTCAGAAAAGAAGACAGGGAGAGACAGGGCTGATAGACATTTCCCAGAATGCATCAGTGCAGCATGAGAGAGGGGAAATGGGGTGTATAATGTGGATGCTTCCGGGGATGCCGTAAATAAGTGCTTAGTAAAGCCTCTGGCTTGTTTTAGCCTGTGGTTTACTACTTTAGTTTAAACTGTACATTTTACTGCATTATTTGGTCATAATTAGGCCATATTAAGGGTTAAGTGTTCAAACCCACACTTAACTCTAAACGTTTGCATGTTGCCCCAAACCATTGGCATTTAGATATGAACGATACCCCATGGCTCTTTGAGGAGAGATGTGCTATTCATATTCTAAGCCATTTGACTTATCATTTTTGCATGGTGGATAATAAAACGGGCATAAAAATGCAACCTAGGCTAATTAGAAAAACATGCCTCTACCTAGTCCAAAAATGTACCTTTACATGCAATTGGCTGAATTTTCCAGCTGAAATGAACACTAGTGGCTGTAAAACATCAACAATGTTTATCCCTTTAACTGATTATGATTACAGGGAGATTATTGATTAATAAAGACTTATTTTTGCACAGTTCCTTGCATGATACTATGTCATCACCTCAAAACTGTTAACATAGTGAATGATTTGTAAACAAACACATTTTGACAGTGGCGTCACATGACTAGCTCCATATGTTAGGCTTTTCTAATGTGGGAAACTTGCTTGTTGGTCCACCTGGTACAGCATTGCACTTGCGATGTAAAACTCGAGTATGAGTCCTGTGAAACAAGTCACGACACTTTATAAAAGGGCTCAAAGATTTGTAAAAAGCTAAAACCGTATTGTTGCTTCAGCAAACATGGTTTTAGCTCATGTTTGGTTTTCTTAGCATTAAGGGGTAGTTGTGGCCTAATGGTTAAAGAGTCAGACTTGTAACCCAAAGGTCATAGGTTTGAGTACCGTCAGGGATTGTAGTAGACTACACTAGTAGTAGTAGTACATGCAGGCAATGTAACATGCAAGAATCAACATATTATCATTTTGCAGAAATGTCGCCAGATGTGCGTTTTTACAATGTGCAAATCCCCTAGATTTACATTGACTTCAGTGGGCTTTTTTAACTACCCAAGACATGCTAGAAACCACATAGCAACATACTAAAAACCATTTAGAACACCTTATAAACCACAAAGCAACAGTTTGGCAATCACACAACACCTTAGCATCATGATAGTGAGTTTTGGACTATGTTTTTAGCACTAGCTGTTTTTGGAAATGGATTTATTTTCTCTCTGCACAAGCGTAAAGAAAAATGTTAATAGAGTCCCTGTCTTAATGGTAGATGTGCAGCAGAAAACAATAGCAATGAATCACCCGTGATTACTGTCAGCCACATTAGTTTGTTTTACTCTTCCTGAGAGCTACATCTGTATTTCAATTAGGTAAGATCAGAAAACGTTGACTCTGCTCTCTACCAGTCCAGACTTGGGCGTCTGCCAGCTGAAGAGGAAGACAAACTGGCTTTAAGAGTTTAATGACCGCAGGGCACCAAAACAAAGAGCAATCTCTTCCTTCTCCATTGTACATAGCTTCCAAACCTGATGTTGCATTTTTTACCTTGAAAACATCAGATAACCATATCTTTTTTTTATCAAGCAACAACGAGAAAGGGTTGTCTGAGTTGGGTTACCTTTCATAACATAAGCTGTAATTTACTGTACAGTTGGCTAGGGATAATAGCAGGTGGGAAGCAGAAACATGCAATGTTTTTCTGACGAAAGTGACCTTAAAGTGCAACAACGCTCTTGTGAAAACAGCAAGTTGGGGAGGGCTTGCAAACCACATATGTCATGTGAAGATTAATGCTTTGTATTTTAGCTTAGGGTGTCTGAGACAGAGGTGGGAGTGAAGTGCTCTAGCATGAATACCGAGGCAGTTAATAGTTTTGCTCAACTGCTCTCGCAGCGTTGAAGAGGTCAGTTCCTCTTCCTGCTCTCGCTCCCCAATGCGGCTATTGAGGTGTCGCCGAGGGCTAAGCAGCAGATATGCTTACCTTAACCCCCAAACAAGTCTCTCCACCTCTAAATAATGTGCGTCAGAGGTCTTGGAGAGGGGTGCGTGCTGCAGAACAACTCCTGAGCTCAAAGCACCTTGGGTCGATTGTGTCATGCACACACACCTCAACATGCAAAACATCTCTTCTTGTTCATACTGTAAGCTAACAAATCCAAGACGTGTAACTAAAGGCTAGGGCTGGGTAAAAAAATATCGATATCTCGATTTTAATCGATTCTTATTTTTACGGAACGATATCGATTCTTAAATCCCAAGAATCGATTATTCTAGCCTGTTTTCAGTTAATGGACGGAACGTTAAAGGGCACTTCCCATCCAATATATCGCAATAAGCATTGTGCGTTGGTACTTTTAATATGAAACAAAGTCTCCGATTTCTCAGATTCTGTCCATTGTATTGCAGTATTCAAACAATTAATCCCGGTTAGGCGCTGTTTAATGTGGAGTGACAGATCGCTGTTGCGCCTCAGGTCAACAGACGCGGCAGCGCGATACGCACCTGAACTGATCGTCTCCTCCACATTAATACCAGTTTCAGCAAAAAATAATCATGACTAAACATCTGAAGGTAAGTTAAAATAAAGAGTACAACTTTACAATCCGTATCCTGTCTCATGTAATCACTCAATCAGTGTTTCAGCCGCGCAAAGACATCAATATAACGGCTTGTAAACAATGTCAAGTAATGTCACATTTACCTCAGAAAAACATATTCGGTGACCACAAACTCATTAGTCGGATAGAAAAATAAACTGTAGAGAGGGGCATTTTGCTAAATATATGCACCATATAACATATTCATTATAAATTTTACTGTTCTTCAATGTTTAATTTATGTTTGAATAAATCCATCAAGTTTTATGACAGCCACCATTGTTTATATTTAAAAAAAACGAATTGAAATAGAAATATTATGTAATTGTAACTTTATTATTTTAAAAACTTCATTAAGTGTCATTTTAACAAATCAGTCAATTCAATCTTCAATATTATAGTAATGTAGTACCAACTGCCTCTCATGTAGCTATATTTTACAGCATTAGTTGAGAGATTTGTTTTCCTTGAGAAAATTTGGTATGTACTGTACCTGATATGTATCCAAAATAATCAATATTGAATCGAATCGCAAGCTTGTGAATGAAAATCGAATCATGAAATTTGTGTCCAAACCCAGCCCTACTAAAGGCCATCTGTGTCATTATTTCGTTCACTCACATACTCATACACACACTGTCCCCTCACCTCCTCCCACTGGTGGATGTATCTGATGAGGCGTGAAAGCCTGAGAAGACGGAGCAAGCTGAGGATTTTGGTGAAGCGTACAATACGCAGTGCTCGGGCCGTCTTGTAGACCTCCGAATCAAAGCCTTTCTCTACTATTAGAAAGATATAATCCACCGGGATGGAGGACAGGAAGTCTACCACGAACCAACTCTTCAGGTAGTTCATCTTAATGACCTTTGGGTCCAGGATGATCTCCGAGCTCTCCTCATTCACAATTCCAGTTCTGAAGTTCATGACCAGGTCCACCAGGAAGATGGTGTCCGAGGCCACGTTGAAGATGAGCCAGCTGGTGGTAGTTTGCTCGGAAAAGAAGGTAATTCCCACAGGAATGATGATTAGATTCCCCATCATCATGATGAGCATTATCAAGTCCCAGTAGAACCTGCAGTGGAGACAGAAAATTACTTGTTAAGTTGGACCACTTGAAAGCCAAACCATTTTTTTTTATGACTTAACCATTTCCATTACCTGATCTATCAAAGATTTGCCCATGAATTGACTTTACAACCTCTTCAAAAGTACTTTCACATTACCTTCTATCCTGCCTCTGTTCCCAATAGCAGAAAAATGCTAGCCCTGTTCAGCATGAAGATGATGTAGCAGGACTGGGCAAGATTAAATTCCTGCTCTTTTCTGCTGGAATGCCCTCATTGCGATCACCCTCAGATATATGTAATGTTTCTCTGGGTCCTGTCTAACAGACTTCCTTCAGCGATCAGTACAGCTCGCGCCTGCAGTCCGCACATGATGCACTACAGCTCATTTCCCTGTCGCTTTTGATATCACCGCCAACACTTCCTGCTGGATTGCCACCCTGTGACAGTGCAGCACAGCTTGCGCTTTGCTCTCTGGATGAGGAGGCAAAGAGCAACAGGACCAAAAATGCAAGAGGGAGTTAGTAACATGAGAGGGTTTCCCTTTCTTATGTGAGAGTTGTGTGTTTACAACTGTCTGTGTGCGACATTCTGCTTTGCTTGTACAATACTCAGAAAATGAATTAAAGGTACAGGCTGTAATTGCTGAGCCAGCAGCACTTGAACCCTCAGGAATTAGCTTGTGTTTTGAAAATATGTGAATGGAGCCACCATAGGGGTGAATGGAATCATGGCGGCCGCTGGAAGGTGTTTGTTGATTCAGTACGACTAGCAGCCTGATGGGCCCAGCAATTACACAATGTGCACTTTATTAATGTGCATTGCCAACTAGCTAGCTGAAACCAATATCCACAAGCTGCATCACAGGAATAAATAAATTGAATATAAATTTAAATACATTTAAAATGGTTCTCTTGAATTGTGTTCAATACTACTGTTTGCACTGTATTTGTATACTGTATTGGTCAAATAAATGCAGCCTTGGTGCGCATAAGAGACTTCTTTCAGAAACATTTAAAAATCATGCCAATCACAAACTTTTAAATTATAAAGTCTAAATTATAAAAATATCAGCATTATCAATTATGAGCATTTATCACTTGACCGCTACACCAATGTTATGTTTGTCAGCCTACAGTAAACCACTAGACCGTACTCTCACTGCTTAGCTGATGTTATATAAGCATTATGTAAAACTTTCCATTTACATGTTGAAAAGCTCACAAAATTATTATAAAATGTAATTTGTGATACTCTGCAGACGCAGTATGTCCTTCATTCTCTCTCTTCACCAGAGCACTAAACTCATGAGAGGTTTTCAGTTGCTTGGCAGAAGATGCAGCGCACAGCTCGTACAGTGAGAAGAATCGCATTATGATTTCGAACCTTCAGTGTTACATAACAAGACACCCAATGTTAAATAGACATGCAAAGAAATGAAGGACAAAACGGTAGTATTTGGACTGTCTGCTTATTTAATTAATTCCAAATATGAGGGAATTAATTAAATACAATTCCAAAAATGTTTGTACTTATTCAATCGTCAAAATATCCCTGTTTGTTTTTGTAATTATTAATTTATTTTTAGTTTTTAGTTTCCTCTTACTGATAATGCTGTCAAAATCACCCTGTCATTCCTGACAGCAGGATCATCAGTGGGCTGTTTTGATATCCACTGGTCAAGAAGATGCTTCTGACAATTAAAGAAACGTCAGTCCACCTCCATTTTCATGTCTTGTAGTGTTTGTATGCCTTGGCAGACCAGACATGTACCTGAAATGGCTACAGACTCTGCAATACACATAAGTCTAGTCGTAAATTAATGTTTTGCTTCTCAATGTCTATTTAGCACAGGTTAAACACTTCCATTGTCGTTTGCAAGCATGAATCTAATGTTTGACAACAAGCCAAACCAAACACACAAGTGAAGTAATTAGTGAACACTGCTACGTTGGTGGTATTACTCATGCCACCTAATGTGAAGAAATCTTCCTCAGCACAAAAGTGAAAAATAGCCCGTTTTTATGTCTGCCTTGAGCAGAGATGAGTCAGCTCTCTGATAGGAGTCCAGCAGACAACAGAAGAGATTTTTTGCAATGCTAAAATGTTTAAAGGTCAGTATATTGTATATACACATGCACACATACTATAATTGCATTAATGTAGCTCCTGTGTCTTGTAAAAACTAAAGCCAGACGTATTTTGACAGGCGCCGGGCTGGCCTGGAGAACCACACAAAATGTCCTGGCTGCTGATAACGGCATACATCCATGAACTAAAATAGATGCTTTCAAGAATCCTATCTCAACGCTAGAAACCCCTGGCTGGTGCCTCAGATGAGACCGATGCACTTGGCTGTAATGCCTCTGAGTGAATGAGAAAAGCTCTCGGCCTTGCTTTTTAAATATCAACCGATCCAGTATATCAAATAATTATCTGTGCTTCGGTCCAAACAGACATCTTTGGTTAATAATATCCACCTTGGATATTTTTACTTTTGGGAGCTCTAAAAAGATGAAAGAATTAATTACTTGTTATTGCTTCTGCTGTTGGTTGCAGTATAGCTGGGATTGTGCATGAATTGCATGTGGAGGTATATTGAGTACTCATATTGTAAGTCGCTTTGGATAAAAGCGTCTGCTAAATGACTAAATGTAAATGTGAGAGAGGTTTGACAAGCCGTTTTGCTTTTGTAACTGTAGCCTTGACAACCAAATGACAGACAGGCTGTATTGTCAGAGGTGGGATGGTTGCCATGTGACCATCTGTCCTGCTGGTGAATACTAAAGACGTGCATAGAGGACGTGACCCAGACACAATTGTTCTATGCTCAAATGCGCTTTTCTGTCTCTCTACAGCAGCTACAACTTCACCTCAGTGTGGAATGTGGTTCTTTAAAGGAATAATATGCACACAAATGAAAATTCTGTCATTTATTATCCTCATGTCATTTCATCAGGCTGTCAAGCTCCAAAATAAAAAGAATCATGTGTTCTGAAGTCATCCGATAGCTGTGTGTGAGCAATTTTGAAAAGTTGTTTTGCATTGATCATCTTCCTAACAGTGAGCTGTTAACTTAAAAACCGAATCAGTGAGTTGAACTGAACTGAATTAGTCTGGACTGTGAACTAATCACTGGTTTTATGAACTCAATCAACTGAGTCACTGAAAAGATCCGACTCAAATGAACAATTTGGAACATTGCTACTCCTGTCATAAAACTTTATATATATTTTTAAAAAATGTTGTGGACAAAAGAGACACAGATTGCTCTTAACTTGCTGTGGCCTGTTTGCAGAGCTCTGCAGTCACACTGCATTCATAAATTGGGCGTTCTTCAGCATTGTATGCGAGAAAAAAAATACAGACTTAGGCTATTTAAAGAGTACCAAGGGGCATCAATTTGGAAGAAGTGAGACATGCACTGGCAAAGACCTTCATTAGACTTTGGGACACGTCTTTGAGACAAGCCTCCAAAAAGCAACAGCAAAAAGCATCAATAATGCAAGACAAACTTGTATGCCCCTAAAAATAGAGGTTAATCTGGGTTTAGACATCAGAGGCCGTTTGATAGGGAGAAGGAATCTGCTCACATACAAATCCTGCTTTTCCACAACCTGTGTGATTAATTTATAAGCCAGAGATTTGACCCGAGCTTATCCGTTACCTGATAAATCCTGCCACTAAAAAATAAAAAACATGCACAAAGTCACTCGAAATGGTGAGGGAATTTTGGGAAGGTGACGTCAGTCACGTCTGAAGAGTTTCAATAGATTCAATAGGCTGGACAAACAGGGAAAGCAAGAGACAGATGACATGCAATATGGAGGACCGATAAAAGAAACATACGACTGAGTCACGCATGACAAAAGCCGATGACAAAAGATCTCAGGCAACATCAAGCATGAGCCCTTTCTAAAAACACTGAATAATGAATCTTACTAACCTCCTATTAATCTTTAAAGAACTACATTGAGATATTGAGTTTCCTAATGCTTCAGAACCAAAACAGCACATGTGAATGCTGTTGTCACTCATGTGGTGTTTCTGGTTCCAGCTTTTTCAGTTCACGGCTGGGACGTTATTGGAAGAAAATGAGCAAATTTTACCAAATTAACTGGAAAAAAGCTTAGAAACAAAAGAGCATTTCCCTGTGTGGGTGAGAAAGGAAAGCCATTGTAAATGAGCAGACGATACCGAAGCCTGCCAAGTGTAGCTAGTATCACACGGTTCAGGCTTTTGTCCATTAGAAGCAATAACTGTCATTCTCCTATTGACTCTATTTTTCTTTCCGTCCACCGTCTCCCTCTTCGTATCTTCTATTTTCTCTTTCTCACCTGTTTTCTCCTTTTCTGGTTCTCCCTTTGATGTAAAGCCTATTTGGCAAGTGCGATCAAAGGCTCAATATTGTGTGCAGACCTGAAGCATGGCTGTCTAAGAATGCTATGAAGTAGCTAGCACCGAATTCATTTAATAAAATAAAGACTATGTTATTTTAGTATTGCTTATATACTGTAGTATTATTTATATGCTGTTATATTTTTTTGAATTAGCTTTTATTTTTTAATATTTTGAGTTTTTATGTAAATTTTTGTTTAAGTAGTGATGTGCGTCATTATTTTTATTAGTTTTTATTTAAATTATTACTGTTTTGCTTAATTTTCATTTCTATTTTAGTTTAATTTTAGTGCTTCAACTTATTTGTTTGTGTTAGTTTCCAAGGCAACATTTCTCATTTTCATTTAAGGTTTTTAAGTTTAAGTTTTCATGTCAATTTTAGTTTAGATTTTAGTCGTTTTGTTACATGCTTTTGTGATTTTTATTAGTTTTTCTTTATTTTTATTTCTGTTTTAGTAGTTTTAGTACTTCAAGCTTAACTTATTTTATTTCAGTTAGTTGCCAAGGCAACATTTCTCATTTTCACTTAAGTTTTTAAGTTTTATGCACAAATGTCAACCGATTAAAAAAGTCTTTGTACCTGAAGTGTGCAATTTTCTTTTTAAGCAAGTTTTCAGAAGACTCCCCCGTCTGCCACTGGTTAGTCAAACCGATAGTCCCGCCCCCAAATCACTCTATTGGTTGAGTTAATGCTGCTGAGTTGAGATGCGCAATCATCTCAATGTTTTGAAAGTGGCACAGATCCTTTTTTTTTTATATATATATATATATTAAATTATTAAATATAATTTCTAAAAAAAAATTATAATTGTCACTGCATATTGATGTCTGTATTCTGACATCAAAAAATTTACACTCTTCAGTTTTAATTACTGGATTCTCAAAATTACCCCCTTAATAAGTTGTATGTACAATATGCATATGATTGCTAAGCAGCGGCGTCCTTTGTACATTATGGCAGAAAGGTCAATCATGTTACATCACAGGGTTCAGAGCAATGTTAATCTCGTTCAGTGTGTGTTGGACATCTAATCCGATCTCACCTTCTCTCATCCCTGCTCTGATGTTGGAGGGCTTTACACAAACCGTTCTGATCTGTTTCAGGGGTGGCGTAGCCTAGTGGTTAAAGACCTGAATGGTTGTAGGATTAAATCCGTCTACTACGTGAGTACTTCACATACACAATCTGTGTACTGTGAGCATCGCATAAAAACATCAGCTAAATGTCAAATAGTAGTTGCAATAGAAATGGACCTCCAGCAGACATAATGGGTCATTCATATTGTACAGTATTGGCTGACCTCTGTAACTTCAAAAATAATGGATATGTTTGTGTACTTGAGAAATTAGCTCAGGCACTTAATGTTTATTAATTATGACTTGATTGTTTGCACAGAGTAACACGGTGGAACCCAATTTCTCTTCTGAACAGATGTTGCCATTTTGCCAAGTCTCCTTCAAACATGTGAAACTGGCAATTTATTAAGAAATATAAAAGTTTTTTTTTTTTTTTTTTTTTTTTTTTTTTTTTTTTTTTTTTTTTTTTTTTTTTTTATACATGGTGTTGACTTTATTTAGTATTTAGTTTAAACATCTTTTTAAAAAATATTATTTTATTAAACAGTATGGAAGAGTGAGACAAGACAACTATGTCACTTCTTGGAGGATGATGTCATCGCTTTTGTTACTTAAATGGGTCATATGATGTTGCTAAAAATAACATTATTTTGTGTATTTGGTGTAATGAAATGTGTTTATGCGGTTTAAGGTAAAAAAAAACACATTATTTTCCACATACTGTACATTATTGTTTCTCCTTCATGCCCCGCCTTTCTGAAACGTGTCGATTTTTACAAAGCTCATCGTTCTGAAAAGCGTTTCCTCAGCGACCAGCACAGATCAGCTCTAGGCATGATGAAGCGGATATCATCCTCTTTTGGAAGACCAAACAAAGTAGTTTCGCTTTCACAACGAATCACACAGCGCCTTCACGACATGGCAGCGGTGGCAACAATACTACAGCGAGAATAAAAGTTATGCCTTCTTTGCGTGAACATTTGGGCGGCGTTATGCAAATCTTCCCACATCGTGACGTAGACATGTGGGGGCGTGTTAGAACGAGCCGTTTTAGGTAGGCGTGGTTGACTCTTAACTTTTATAAAGAATATCTCTTTGGATTTGAAACTTTAGTCTTTGCAACTTTACAGATCTTCTTTATGCACCAAGAGCTTGTAACACTCCAAAGAGAAAGGAAAAAATGAAATCGCATCATATGACCCCTTTAAAAGGGATTTTAAGATGGAAAGTAGCATTGAGTACACAGGAAAAACTAATAGAATGATTTCAAACAATATTTCCATGAAAACATGATTTGTTTGAAACATTTGTTTAGATAAAAAAAGAAACGCATGGAAAATTCCTAAATAAGTTAGAAATTACTGCAGCATGCAGAAACATGACAAAAATTGCATTTGCTCAAACTGAAGTAGTGCAGTTATTTAAAATTCACCCATTCAGTTAATTATGATATTGCAAATAAAGAAAACAAATTTAGAGTTATTATAATAGTGCTATTATGCTACTATTATAATATTATGGGCAATATTATGTTAGTATCATTGAGACAGGGTTATAGTTTTTATTATTATTTCTAAATTGTTTTTGTTTTTACATTTTCTGTTTCCATTTCAATTTTAATTAACGTTTTAGTAATGTTGTTGTGTGCATTTTTATTATATTTACTAACTTTTTTGTTGTTATTTTAGTACATGTTATTTAGTAGTTTTTTTTTTAGTTTTTAAAAATCTTATTTTATTTTATTTCAGTTACATTTTATTTCATGTAATGTAATTTTTAAGGGTTTAGTTTTAGTTAAACATAACCATGATACTATTATGTGGTTACTGTAATAAGTATAATAATATTTTAATCAGTATATTTATATATACTATATATATATATATATAGGAATGACCCTGCTTTGGTAGTTAGGTGGTGCCTTGGGAGTACAACATCTGAGTTGTTTTGCTCTTTCATGTTACACATGATATCCAAAAGCAAAGTCCATAAATTACATGGGATAAATAAAACAACGAGACAGGTGGGAGTCCAGCTAATGACCTTGTACGGGATAGAGTTCTCCATATTCATGAACAGTGTGGAGCTGCTTTCAGCACCATGGAGAGCGTTACGGGCTGAATCTAATAATCAGACATGCCATTCTTTCTGCCTCGTATCTATCTATCTATCTATCTATCCACCTGTCTGTCTATATTGACGAAATGGGATGAGAAACTGAAGACTTCAAACCTCCAAGTGGAATAACCAACTCCAGTTGCAAAAACTGACAGTCTACACTGTAAAAATAACGTTTATCTTTACAAGTATGTCAATTAAATGGCAACTTCTTTACAATTATTAAAAAAATGGCAACTGTGGTTGTCAGAACTTTCCTGTCAAAACATGGCAATTATGTTTCAAGCATTTTACTGACTCTATCATTTTAGATCCTAACTATGTCAAGAAATGATCATGTTTCTATGCTAAACAAATTGAGCTATTAATATCTTTTGTTACTTTCTTAGTAAAACGTTTGCTACTGTGAAGTGTACAGAAAATAACTCGGGTTGTTCAATTGAAATGATGACTTAAAGTTCATCAAAATTAGCCTCTCCAACAACTATAACAAATAAAAATAAGAAAGAAACGTGGTGGTTTATGCACAAAAATAATTCTGGGAAAGTCCCGTTTACTATAAATAAGGCAGTGGATATTTTTTACTAATTAAAAACATTAATTTTTTACAGAAAATATTTATACAGTAAAAAATTCATATATACTGTTTTATTATATATGGTGAGGTAACCCACAGCTAACTTTTTTTCAATTAAAAATGACATTTTTGCAGTATATATTCATTTATCCATCCACCTGTCAATCTATCTATCTATCTATCTATCTATCTATCTATCTGTCTGTCTCTCTGTTAGTTTTCTGTCTACATTGGTGCAATGGGGTGAGAAACTAACTTGAGACTTCAAACCTCCAAGTGGCCAAACAAACTCCAAATGATGAACAAAAGTATGAAATTATGCTGCTGCTTATGTAATAATGCCTTTCCTAACAAGCTATTTGACAATAACCCAGTGTTACATTGTCAATTCTTTATCCGTATAGTCTAATTTGAAGAGGATCTGCTAGTCAAGTTGTGCATGAAACGTTCTCGCGGGGGGCATTGGGTTTGAAAACCCCCTCCATTCACCTGACTAACGCGATTAGCGTTAAACTGCTTTAGATCAACTGTCCCAGCACTAAAATTGGCATGGGCTGTTACCTGGTTAGAGCCACACGGGATCATACAGAGCCACGAGATAAAACAATAGAATAATCCGCGTGTTTCTGCCTCAAAACAAGACGTGATCTTGCAGCCACCCTCGTTCCTTTTCATCTCACGGCAGACACTAACAGCTATGCGTTTACAATGCCAGAGTGGTGCATCATTGCCTGCGCGCACTAGCACACACGTCTTACACAACAGCAGAATGAATGCCCAATCGTGGCAGGTCGGAGACGTCCCATGATGACTGCTGTGCCGTTTATTCACCGAGATGACATTCACCCCTACTCGTGCCAAGGGCATTGCGTGCGTTCAGGTTCTGGTTCCCCGAAACGCCACGCTAAATGACTGCAAACGCGGCGCGCGGCGCTCTATGCCCATTTTGCTGTGACCTGAGTGTGCGTGGGAAGGTGACTTTCCACACTCCTTACCTAAAATCACTATAGGGGTGAATGATCCAATATCCAGCCGTCTGCACTCTCTCCTGCTCTTTCTCCACGGCTTTCTGACTCCCGAACATCCGCAAGGAGAACTTATTCACCCCGGGCTGCATCATGGCTCCAAATTGCCGCTGCATGAACCCGTGTTGCCTGGACGCGGCGTCTATATCGTCAAACCCGACCATGGCTTCTTCCCGGTCCCCCTTTGCACCCACTGAATTGCCGTGGTCTTTCATGTTCTGGCTCCCCATGCTGTTCTTCAAGATCGAGTCTTGCCTCTGGAACACATTATTCCCATCCGCTTTCTCCTCTTTGTTGCTCGAGAACGAATTGGATTTGTCTTCCATGGCGGTTTCAGAACGTGCTGTCTCCGGGTGCGGAGGACAGGCTACGCGTAAAAGTCGAAAGGAGCAGCTGGCGGCTCTTCTGTTTCATTGGACGTCCCTCAAACCACCGCTGCCTCCACTCCGAGTGCTGCTGCACAACTGAGAGGCAGAGTAGTGGTGAACCCGACAGGATCAGCTTTCTTGGGCTGCTGCCATCTACTGTCGGGGATTGAGCGCGGCTCGCGTCCCGTGGCTCCCCAAGCGTGTCGAGGACGCGGACGCACTGTCATAATGCGCTGCTCCAATATGCTTCCAGACTGAAAGCGTGCCAAAGGAATACGATTTGAACAAGATGTTGTAGATGCAAATCTATGGGATGATATTAGACTCAAAATGATTAATAGACGCACGCACAATTATTCATGTACTGCATACATTTTATACATGTATCTTACTAACCACAAACGCGAACTAGACGTCAATTAATGCACGCGTGTCACCTGATCCACATATGCACAGAATCCTTTTTGCATGAGCAATTTATGATATATTAATGCAGAACAGAACATTTTTATTCGAAAACATGTCTGTATTTGTACAAATCCCTGCACAATCATTTAATCCTGAATTCCACAGACTCAAATTGAAAGGCATTTGTTTGTGGTTAGTAAGATACATGTATAAAATGTATGCAGTACATGAATAATTGTGCGTGCGTCTATTAATCATTTTGAGTCTAATATCATCCCATACAAATCAGGGTTATGTAAAGCATTTGGGAAGGGCATGTTTTATTACGAGATGAATTGAAATGGCAATATTATGAAAGACTAACATCCCTGTGGTTAAGACTGTCTATAAAATATCATGTGTCATAGGGGTTTGTGGTATTGCAAAATCGTGCATCGTTTAAAAAAAAAAATATATATATATATATATATATATATACATTTTGTATTATATATATTACATATTTTTCAGGAAATTAAACAAAAATACTTTATATCTTAATAACCAAGTGGGTTATGCGTTTTTCATTTTTTAAATGATTTTATTTTACTTTATTTTATTTGTAATCCAGTGAATTAATATGTTACATCCGAAGAATATTTAATCTAATTTGACTCCTTTCTCTTGATGTCTGCAAACCAAAAGATGATTATTTGAACAAAAGTTTGGCATCAGTTCAAAACCGAGTTCTCGTTATGTAACAGATTAAAAAGAAAAGTCTCTAAACAATATAACTAATATTACAAAACTCAATTGACAGTCATAATTGCATTATGAAAGACTAACTTCTCTGTGGTTAAAATCTCATGATAAATAGGGTTTGTAGTATGACAAAATTGTGTGTATATATTTTGTATTATGGAAACCGAAAGTGCTATTATAGTTATTTTCCTGCAAATTCAGTAAAAATTATTTTGTCATACCAGAGCCAACAATATTCATACTACCTCTATGCTAAGTGCAAAATTAAGGTATATATAGGATATAATCAAGCAAGCAGTATATTGGAGAGAGAAGAGTTTTTTTTTTTTTTTTTAGAGAAAGTACTGTAATTTTAACTATTCTGTAGGAGGTGGCAAAAGAGTGAAGGTAAGTGACCACGGTATAAACAGTACAGCCAAATCTCTACCAGCAGACCAATTTTTTGAAGTCACATGATAGCCTACATTATACTGTCAGCCCTATGGCAAGACTCACATAGCTATTTTAAATTCAACCTGTAAATCTAAATGCACTGCCAATATTGGGGCATTTTGAATCTGAAGTAAGAAATGTTGATAAAACAGCTTGAGATATGGCTAACTAATCTTTTCAGGTCTTTAAAACCTTCTTTCATCTGGTTCTTTCAACCATGAGAGAACCTCTCCCTATTAACACTAGAAGCACTGGCCCTGAACTGATCGTTTTCTCAAAATAAAGCTTTTCTTGTGAGTGCTCTGATATCATCGGCAAGAAATGTAAAAAAGTCTACTTTATGGACCCTGCCTAAGCTTTATGGTTTAAGTGACGTCACTTAAAGTGATAAAACACAATATTTAAACATGTAGTATTCAGATTTTGTCTTTCAATATGGGCACATCAAATTGATTTCATTCTCTTTACAGTCCTTTCAGATTGTTCCCTGCCGCAGAGAACTGAATTAGAGAGGAAATTAGAGTTGATGGCGATGAAGATTTGTGCATGCCTAAAAGTACCCTTACTATTTTAATTACAATAAAACAGTGGTGGATTGCTAGCATTAAAATGTTTGACAGCTTTATATACTATTATTGAAACGTTTGTGGTCAGTAAGATTTTTTTTATGTTTTTCTTATACTCAACCAGGCTGCATTTTATTTGATCAGAAATAAAATAAAACTTAGTAATATTGTGAAATAATATAACAATTTAAAATATCTGTTTTCTATTTAAATGTACTTTAATATATAAAACTTTGGTGTCACATAATACTTCATATCACATGCTATTCATGCCAGCTATTCCTCACGCAACAAATATAGACAGAAAAAAAAATCTAAGCATTGTGTTTTAAAATGACTGACTCTTTCCGCTCGCTCATACACAGTGCTGGATGGTAACTGATTACATGTAATCTGGATTACATAATCAGATTTTTTTTTAAATAAGTACATGTACTGTAATTAGATTATATTACATTTTCAAGTACTCATAATCAGATTACAGTTACTTTTTATTACAATGGCAGTAAATAATTCATGATTTGTCTAACTACTTATTTTTTCTCTCTTAATTTTTCCTTTAAAAAAAATCTAACTGCTGTATACATTCAGAAAGTCTTCCAGTTTAATGGAACTGCACACACCAGCCAGTTATCAGGTGACTATAATTACACAGAAAATGGAAAGAAATGGAAACTAGCTCTTCTGCAGTGCTTCAAGGAACGCCAGTTTGTAAAACCCTGGCGTAATGTAATGTTTAATGCACTTCATGATGTTGATAACAAAGAATGGAATTATTTTCTTATGGGTTAGGTCGAATGTAATCTAAAAGCAATCAAAGAGTAGTTAGTTACTAACTACAATTGCCGATATGTAATTTGTAATCAGTAATGGTAATTTTAATCAGTATGTTATAGTAACCAATAATGCATGAGGTCTCGCTGGACGCAACTGCAACAGATGAGACAAATGAAGGGCATTTCAAATCACTGCTTTATGTTTTTATATCAGAAAATGTGATTTGATGCTCTTGAGCTAATTAATAAATCTGAATTTGGCACAGATGTGGGAAGCTGAATTCCTTAGCATCCTGTGAGGCTAATGTTCTCATGTGCACCTAGTAGGATACACTCACTCATGCAATATTTTACCCAGATGTGAAATATCACATGCTATTCATGCCAGCTATTCCTCACGCAACAAATATAGACAGAAAAAAAAATCTAAGCATTGTGTTTTAAAATGACTGACTCTTTCCGCTCGCTCATACACAGTGCTGGATAGTAACTGATTACATGTAATCTGGATTACATAATCAGATTTTTAAAAAAATAAGTGCATGTACTGTAATTAGATTGTATTACATTTTCAAGTACTCATAATCAGATTACAGTTACTTTTTATTACAATGGCAGTGAATAATTCATGATTTGTCTTACTACTTCTTTTTTCTCTCTTAAATTTTCCTTTAAAAAAAAGAAATCTTACTGCTGTATACATTCAGAAAGTCTTCCAGTTTAATGGAACTGCACACACCAGCCAGTTATCAGGTGACTATAATTACACAGAAAATGGAAAGAAATGGAAACTAGCTCTTCTGCAGTGCTTCAAGGAACGCCAGTTTGTAAAACCCTGGCGTAATGTAATGTTTAATGCACTTCATGATGTTGATAACAAAGAATGGAAATATTTTCTTATGGGTTAGGTCGAATGTAATCTAAAAGCAATCAAAGAGTAGTTAGTTACTAACTACAATTGCCGATATGTAATTTGTAATCAGTAATGGTAATTTTAATCAGTATGTTATAGTAACCAATAATCTACCCAGTATCATCTTTCAGTGTTAAAATATCTGTTGTTGTTTTTTCCTTTCTAGTATTATGCACATTTAGAAAACCTAAGCAACTGCAATGCAATGCATTAAATATATTAAAAAAATATATATATATATGTTCTGGTGTGTTGATAGACAATTGCTATGCAGTTACTATTTGTTCTGAATGGATTGGAGATGTTGCTATGTGGTTGCTAGGGTGTTTTGGGTTGTTGATGGGCCATTGCTATTCACTTAAGGTGTTATAAATCATTTTTAGAATATTGCTGTGTGGTTGCTATAGGGTGTTGCTATGTAGTTGTTCAATTTGTTTTGGTTTCTTAATAGGCCATTGCAATGCAGTTGTTTTTTAGCTTGTTGCTATGTGGTTGCTATGCGATGCTGATATGCTGTGTGGTTGCTAGGGTTTTGGCTGTGTTCTGGCCAGGGTTGTTAATCGATCATTATGCCGATTTCTAAGGTGTTCAGTGTGTATTTTCATTAGCAAGTGAGGTTGTGGTTACTCTGCACACATATAGAGAGAGCTCTTTGTGTTGTTCTAAATAGCAACAACATTTTCTCGCTCACATTCTTTAACTGTAATCCTATCTCAGATCTGCCTTGTATCGTGGGCCGTTGTGTCTGCATTATGGCCTCTGGGGAAATAAAGTAGTATTACTCTGATTCTGTCTTGCCATGTCAGAGCAGTAGAAAACGAACAGCAAACGGAGGACGATCCTGTTTTAGTTTCCATTCGACCTTGTGCTAGTTCACGTTCGATGTTTTGGGGGCTCGTCAGGGCGGTTTCACCTTAACTGAGCTGAATATGAATCTGTTATCTGGATTAGGGGAATTACAGTTGAGCTCTCAGGAAGTTTATAACATCTCTCCCTCACTGTTGTCCTCTGATTAGTTATAGGACTGAAAAGCTGCTTGAGGAAAGACACCTCTATATAATCTGATAATACCTCTAATATTATGAGTTTCTATATTTATATGTATATATGTAACTATGGTCCTGCGACTATTTCGTTCCACTGTATGAATCCACATATGGCAGAATTTGTTCCCACAGAGAACAAACGTGATTTATTTAATTTTATAAATGTTATAATATAATACATAAAAGAAAAAAAGAACGTCAAAGTACTTGCCAATATTCCAAATATATTCCAGTGACTTGTGGATGAGGAAATCGTGTGTGTGTGTGTGTGTGTGTGTGTGAATTATTATTTTAATGTGGCAGATGTTGTTGTTTTATGTAATAACATATTTTCAAAACATGCTATATTTTCTATATACATTTTCTATATAAATTTTGCTTTGCCAA